ATTTTAATTTATTTTAAAAATCAACACTAACATATACCTTTATATAATAATAATAATAATAATAATAATAATGGATAAAATTTTATATTTATCTCCTATAAGAGTCAACATACCACAGCTTAAAATCCTGCAAGTTATAATTGTATAAGGATAGTGCTAGCGGCCTCTATTATTGCAAAGTAATCTTAATCTAAACCTTCATTTCCACATTTCATTTCAATTTTTACCTTTTTCGCAATAAGTGTTGGTGTCCCATGTCAATGAATGGTAAGAGGAATCATGTTTGTTTGAATCAGTCTTTGTTTCTGTGGCCATAATTTATAAAACGACAAAGTACAGATAATAAGGACCAGACAAACTAACTCGAAAATTATCGCCTTTATTTTTTTTTAAAAGGGAAGAATTCAGGACGATGCCACATCAAACCACGTGTCTTTTGCCAAGACAAATCATGTAGCCCGTTCTCAAAATTCTGCTTCTCAATCATCACCACCACTACCACCGATCTCATCCTGGCTTTTTTGGATTTTCGTTTCTCTCAGTCATTTCATCGAACACCTTGGAGCGTAATTTAAGTTTCCTGCCGCCGGTTGTGCTATTCGGAGTCGTATTGGGGGTTTGTTGTTGAGGGTAGGCAATGAGTTTCAGGGAGGATGGTGGTGACAATGGGAGGGGCGATCTCAAGAAGCCGTTTTTGCATACGGGGAGTTGGTACAGGATGTCATCTAGACAGTCCAGCGTCATGGGTTCCCAGGTCCTTCGAGATGGCTCCATCTCTGTCGTTCTCTGCGTCCTCATCGTCGCTTTAGGCCCTGTACAATTCGGTTTCACTGTAAGAATCTATACCATTCTTCTTCCCTACGTCTCCGATCATTTGTTATTTTACCCTTTTGTTTCTCATTGAGAAAATGCAGTGCGGATATTCTTCTCCTACGCAAAGTGAAATAATTCATGATCTCAAATTAACAATTTCAGAGGTTTGGCTTCTGGGTTTCTGATCTTTTGGAAAAAAAAATGATTTTTTTCTTTTTCTTTTTCTATGCATGTCTGCTGATTGACTTTTTTTTTTCCCGGTTCCAGTTCTCTATATTTGGTTCTTTGTCCAACGTGGGCGCTATGGTTGGGGCAATAGCCAGTGGTCAGATTGCGGAATACATAGGCCGAAAAGGGGTAATGATTCATTTATCTTCGGTTCTTAATTCTTAGTTTCCCTTGTTGCTGTTTGCTTACTGGGAATATCAATCTCAGATGAATTGCCAATTGAATTTCTTAATCTCCTTATATACATGAGAGAATCAATTACCATTTTTTGGCTTTGTTGAGCTGCTTTTATAGTTTTATTCGCTTTCCTTATATTGCTACCTTTGTTTGATGCTTACAAATTATGTTGAATTTGCAGTCTCTAATGATTGCAGCAATTCCCAATATAATAGGGTGGCTTGTCATATCATTTGCTAGAGTGAGTGATCTTTCATAGTTTACTACATCCTGCTGGGTTGCTGTGTGTCCCATACTAACTCTTATTGCTATCAATATTACATTGTGGCTTTTGTAGGATTCATCATTTTTATTTATGGGAAGGTTGTTGGAAGGATTTGGGGTCGGTATAATCTCTTATACGGTAACTACGAAACTTCTGGTTTTTCTCTTCTTGGATTTTTCTAAGCCATGTCAAAAGTACCAATAGCTTAAATGCTTGACCATTTTAATAATGTCTAGGTTCCTGTGTACATAGCTGAAATAGCACCACAGAACATGAGAGGAAGCCTTGGATCTGTGAATCAGGTTTGTTACAACTAATATGTCCTAAGTTTTAAAATTTTTTTCCATGTTATCAATATTAAATTTCAGTTGTGTCAACTAATCAATTAAACTTTTGATTTGTCTAGCTATCAGTTACAACTGGAATAATGCTGGCTTATCTGTTGGGACTGTTCATGAGTTGGAGAGTACTTGCGGTTATTGGTAAGTAGATTGTAATTTATTTACCTGGTCATACTTCACCGAGGAGTAATTTTTGAGGGCTTTAAGCTAAATGGTAGTGGAATCCTATCTACTTGTGATAATATGAAAACATTTGATATTCATCAAAATTAGGAAAAATGTGTGTTTGCATAATCTTCACTAAGATGACTTTTCTACTAGAAGAATAAAGGTGCCTTTAGTAGAGTTAGATACTATGTATAACAGCATTGCTTTAGTTCAGTTCAGCACAAATGCAGTTAATGCCTATCAATAATGTTATCAAACAACTTCCTTGACAGACTACTCTTCCTGTTTTTGTAGGAGCCTTACCTTGTACAATATTGATACCTGGCCTATTTTTCATACCAGAATCTCCTAGATGGCTGGTATGATGTGTGTCCTGGATACAATATTTCAGATATTTAATGAATGAATGTCCTCTACTTCTCTTATCTTTTGTTTTTTAGAAGAACTTCTAATCTTTTATGTCTTGTTCGTTCTCAATTTTCCTCCTGTGTATTATTTCTTCTTTTGTCACTGAATGCGTGAGTCGCATCTAGGCAAAAATGGGAATGATGGAAGAATTTGAAGCCTCTTTGCAAGTTTTACGTGGCTTTGATACAGATATTTCTGTTGAAGTTAATGAAATCAAGGTACCTAACTTAGAGCTAAAGATTTTGCCTTTGATGGTTCAGTAAGTAATACCATTTACATTGAACTTGCAAAATCAAGTTGTCATGTGGAAACTCCACTTCTTGGGCATAACTTGTGGTGTATAGGCACCTTTTCAGTTAATGTTCGAAATAATATGTATTACTTTGTGCAGAGAGCTGTTGCATCATCAAGCAAAAGAACGGCAATCCGGTTTTCAGATCTCAAGCGGAAGAGATATTGGTACCCTTTGCTGGTAGATCATTGTTCAAACTTTACCTTCAATTTCATTCCTTTTGTCACCAAAACATAGAATCCTTACTTTATTAGTAATTGGTTATGTTGCAGGTAGGGATTGGATTACTAGTACTTCAGCAACTCAGTGGTATCAATGGTGTTTTATTCTACTCCAGCAAAATTTTTGAAAGTGCTGGTTAGACTGACATTCTTTTGATTAAATTTTGGTTTACCATTCTTTTAAGTTTTATATTGGTAGGGGCTTCAAAATGTGAACCATCTGTTATGAGCATCAAATTATGTATGAAATGTATGCTAGATAAACATGTAATCTCATATCAGTTCTATCTTTTTTGTCAATAAAAGCAGGGAAGGAATATATTTGTAGTTTGTTTCTGTTTGCTAGAATGAGAATGAGGGCACATGATGTTATTTATCATTCTAATTTCAAAGCCATTGTGTGATATTGACAGAGTCAGTTAATATCATCTTTGAGAGTTTTAGCAGTTTAGATTTTCTGTGTTTCAATTTGAGTAGGTGTCTCATCCAGCAATGTTGCTACATTTGGACTCGGGGCAATTCAGGTATAGCATGTCATATTTGTGCTGTCGTTGTTTCTAGTATAGGTATTGTGTTACCAGGGAACTCTGATCTGATTTGTCTAATAGAAGTCTGTGTTTTGAGTAGGTTGTTGCAACTGGTGTGACTACATGGTTGGTCGATAAAGCTGGCCGCAGGCTGCTTCTCATAGTGTGTTTTAGCATATCTTTAAGTTTTTTTCTTCAATATTCTCCATTAGCTGAAGGGAGTAGACTATTTACTAAGATATATGCTCTCAAATGGCTTTTCAGATATCCTCGTCTGGAATGACTGTCAGCCTGTTTGTTGTTGCAGTTGCATTTTATTTTGAGGTTAGTAAGATTGTAGCCATACATTCTTCATTAATATTTTGGGTTTAAAATCTCTTAGATGGTTATCTTTGAGAACTTAGAAAATCCTGTTTGATGCCTCCGTTTCTTGTTCTTCTTTTGCATCACTTCTGTCAGAGAATAGTATCAGAAAATACTCATTTATATGGCATAATGGGAATAATGTCACTTGTGGGACTTGTGGTAAGATTTCTTTTGTCTATGATGGACTAAATTATTTTATTTTATTTTTTAATCAAGGAGATCTTAGTCCATTTTTAACTTTCTATTTTATCCAGGCCTATGTGATTTTCTTCTCATTAGGAATGGGAGCTATTCCTTGGGTTATAATGTCTGAGGTATTTGGCCATTTCATTGAAGCATGACTATAATTGTCTTAATTGTGGGGCATAAGACTCAATTTAAAAAACTCCTTGGTGATAAATAATAAATAAATAAAAACTCTAATTTCTGTAGTAAACCCTCAAATCTTCTATACTGTTGGAGGCATGCATTGGCTGCTAATTGTAGTCAAAGTTTGTATCATGTCTGGTACTTATGTTTCATTTTCCCTTTTTCTTTTGGCCAAGTGGTTCTTATGTCTGCTAAAATCCGAATTTCAGATACTTCCAGTGAATATTAAGAGTCTTGCTGGCAGCACAGCAACCCTAGCAAATTGGCTGACAGCTTGGGTTATTACCATGACTGCGAACTTGCTTCTGACTTGGAGTGGTGCAGGTATCTCTCTCTAGATGCATATATGTCGAAAAGGTGCAGATGTCATTTTTTCTATTTCAGAATGTGAACTTTGCTGGTTTTTAAATACCCCTATTTGCATTTTACACATTATTTTTTTTCCGTGGTCAACACCCTCTATAATTTAAAACTTGTGAAAAGCCCCAAATTACTAACAAAATTAGGGTGCAAATAGGGGTTTGACTGTTAGTTTTTTAGTTTTTTAGTTTTTTTACAGATTTTAAATTGTGAAAAGTGTTGACCAAGGGTAAAAATTCTTACGGATGTTGGAAAAAATACCATGCAGGGTGCAAATAGTTGGTTTGGCCTTTTAAATAAGGCACAAAACTTTTAACTTTTTTTATTTAAGGATGCTAACTTTGTGTTTTTTTCTATTCATTGATTAATTGGATGGTTAAAAAGACCATTTGCCACGTCAAAATCACCATCCGATTAATCTTGTAATAGAAAAAACGCAAAGTTGACGTCCTTAAATTAAAAAAAAAAAAAAAAATTGAAAGTTTAACACCTTATTTTGAAACCGATAAAATTTGCATCATTAAATAAAAAAATGGCAACGTTCGAATCCTTATATGCACCTTTTCTCCCTATATGTCTGCACATTCATCATGCTATAGTCCATTCTACTGTCCCTGATGTAGTGTAGGCCTTTTCTCTTTATTATAAAATAACAAGGGGGGCCTTCCCTGAAACAGGGACCTTCACCATTTATGGAATTGTGGCCGCTTTCACTATCGTTTTTGTGAGCCTTTGGGTCCCCGAAACGAAAGGAAGAAGTCTGGAAGAAATTCAGTCATCCTTCAGATGAAAAGCCATCCACCATGTGTCTTGTCCGTTCCAAATCTGGTTTCAAGCAAATCGTAAAATTGTTACATGTATATGTACAACTTCCTCCATGAGTTTGATTTATGTTGTCAAGAAAACAGAAAAAGGAAATAAAAATTAATTTCATTTCATTGAAATGTGTTTATCACGAGGCCTGCACCCAAGACATGCAAAGAAATTACAAACTCAATGTGCTACAGAGCTTCCAGTCTTCCAGGGAGCAGCAAAAGAGAGATGGGAGCAGATGATATGAATAGAGAGAAATGGGAATAACAGGATCAACGGGTGTCATTTATTAGCAAGCAAATGCCTGACAGACCTATTGCAGACACAGGGCCTCTCCAGAAGGACCAATTGACCAGTTTTCTTTATGCCCTGAATTGTTGTATTCTCCTCTAGCTGTCTGTAAGGTTTTTTTTTTTTGTTTCCCGCCCGGTATTCAAGGTTTCGTCTCGACTAATCCGGATTCAACCTGCGTCGCGCACTTGGAAATGGTGGGTGAGTCTCCTAGCGGGGGCTGCTGCGTACACAAGATCTCAAACTCAAGATCTTGCTTAAACTGGAACAAGCCGTTTACTACTTGATCCAACCCCTCGTTGGTTAGCTGTCTGTAAATGCATCAAGCAAAGTCTGCTTTAGTGTTTACGCATCTATGTTGGTTGACTATATATGGAATATGCACTGGATTCTATTTCAATGCTCTAAACTGAACAAGCCTATTTCTTTTGCCGTTTATTGATCTTAATCCTTAGGCAATAATCAATGTCTGCATCTATATAATCTGCTAATATATTTCTGTAGAGGTAGACATACTCTTATCATGTTGTGGGCCAGCGCCTGCTTGAAGAATTCGTCACTCTTACCCCACAGGAGATGTAATCTCTGCAAGATATCCCGGGTGAGATCAGGCAAATTTCAACTGTTTTTTATAAGGAAAAAAAAAAAGGGATAATGAGGGGAATAGGGGAATGCTGGATATCGATTGTTTACCTGTGGGAAAAAAGGAACAACGGCGTCCCTGTTTCTGGCTTCGTGCTTTTTATTAATAAAGTCACAAAAAATTTCATATTAAATTTCATAAGTGTACTTAATATTTTAGTAATAATTAAAAGTTAAGATATGGCAACTATGCTATGGTGACTTTATTAGTCATTATAAGAATTTTAAGGTGATTTTTCTTATAGTATGTAAGAAATAATTTGAAATTTTTAATAAAATAAAATTACTTAATAAAAATTGAGGTTAATGTATATTGGTTATAATTTTTTAAAAAAATTAAAATTAAAATTTATATTTAAAAACTAAAGTTTTCATTTAAAATTAAAAATTTTACTTTATTAAATGTTAATA